CTATTGGGAAGGGTCCGTCTGAGACAGACTACACAAGTAATCCTAATACACTTTGATAGAGAAAAACGTCCTTGGCATAATAGCACATGGAGTTACGGTGCGTGGCGTTTGAAAAAAACGAGTTTACCAACTTTGAAAACGTGTAATTTTAGACACCCTGTATACGAGTATACAACAGCAATAACGAAACCCTGAACTTAACCCTTTTTTTAAACATTTTGCCAAATACGAGTGCGAAATTTACGGGCATCGTGTTCAAAATCGGTGCGATTTTTAATTTCAAGCAGAATCTCAAAATGTAATAATAATAAGCAAGCAAGAGCAAGGCGAAGACAAGAATTTCCATCGAGCAAGAGTCCGATTTGGAACAAAGGACAGTTCGATTGGCCAATACACGCGAGGCCGAACAAACATTTATTACTCATTTACGTTTTCATCAGAAAACCATTTTTCGCCGACAAAATAATAAGCCGGTTCCTACTTCCTAATATTTCCTAAAAAAGGTTAAGGTTGCGGACAATTGTAAGTAAGGGTTTTTTTCTTCGTTTATAATGTGGTCTATTTATAAATCGATTTGAATCTATTAATAATGTCAGCGTTTGGCTTTCCTCGTTTGTCGCGAAACTTTGTTAAACCAATCTCTTCCGCCAATTATGGTCGAATTAAATGTCGTTGATTGGGTTTTTGTCGCGACAGATTGCGATAACGTTTATCCGCGATTCGTATACATCTCATTGGTCTCAAAGGTTACGGGAAAATGATAAATATGTCAGTGGTAAGGATGGTTAGGCCTGAAGAATAAAACATACATTTGTTTTTTTAAAGGAACTTCCACAGGCTACTGTTATACTTTTTACAAAACTTCTGGATTCCTCCTGCGTCGGTTTTTGTTGACTCGAACTAGATAACGTTTCGCCAATCATCCTGTTGCCTTCTTCAGGCTTTTTTATTCTGTACCTGCTTAAATTAGTGATTTCTTCACTTCACTTCACTTTCTAAATGGATGTGCAAAAATATTTCTTGGATGTGACAAAAAAAATCATAAAATAGGTGGTGCATTAAAGCACCACTGGGACAAAATGGGTCAAGTGACCAATGGAATAATAACGCGTGTTATGACGACTAAGCGCGCCACTACTCCTTCACGTATAACCCTTTGTTCAACATCACATCCGACATTTGCGTTTTAGAGCAATCAAAGAACTAAAAAGTCAACAGTAATAAAACACACGAAGCACAGAACAATAACCATTGAGATATTCTAATTGCTGCAATTATTCCAACCGCTAAGGAGACGACGATATTATCTGGACACCAAAACAAATTTATCAAACGCAATCGAAACGCAGAACAAAAAAATCGACACTGTATAAATGGCGTTTGTTAATTAAGGAAGGTTGAAAAATGTCCGGTGGTTGCCAGTCGGAAGTGTTTGAAGTTGAGAAATCGCTCGCAGATAATGGGATAATATTTGTTTGGCGTAACAGGAAATCGAGCTAACCGATGTGATTCGCCATTTCTCGATCGGTATTCTCTGTTTTAATGCAATATGGTTAGTGTTATGTTCAGGGTTATTTTCTATATTTGGGTACACACCTACAGGGGTTAAGGGAAGTCACCGAGCATTATCTTTTAGTAAAAGAAAACAAAACAGTGGCTAGTTTTTTATTTTTAAACGAAACACCCTATATATTTTCTCTTAATTATTTATTTAGTTAAGTAAGTCACAAGACAGACGCAGTTATCCAATAAAAGGAAGGCCTAAATGTTACAAAAAAAAGATTCTTAATCAGTAGAATTATTTTTTACAAGCTAAATAATACTACAGCTTTTTAATTGGTCTTAAATGTCGTTTACAGGCTTCAAAGCTCAGAGCAAATAGGTCAAGATACGGAAACGCGTTCTCTACTTATAAGTACGGGTATGGTCTGTTCATAGATATAAGAAAAAGATTATGACCTAAAGTTTCGGAATTTAAATTCAGGTAAAATTGTGGTCCGTAATAGAAAATCATTTTATACCTACCTGTGTTTAATATTCTTTGGTTTGGTATACTACTTAGTTTAAGTTTATTAGTAATAATTCTTATTTCGTGTGTAATACAGCGTGTGTTGAATCGTGTGCGAATTATGCAAAATATGTACGCGTCTAGTGTATCTCAGGAGATGCTCCCGCCCAAATGTAGAAAACACTATTCTATTGAGACTAATAAAGTTATAAACAATGTTTATTTGACTCTCACTGAACGTGGTGCCAGCAACCAAGCATCTTTAGCAGAAATGGTCACATTGACGAAAATTCCAATATCAACTGTATGGAAAATTGTGAATAACGTGTAGTATATAGATATCTTAATTAGGTTCATGCCTCCTAAAGAAGATGAAACCGGTGTTAAATGTGGCAGAACTACCTTATGGAAGTATATTCAACACATGGGTTTTAGATTTTAAAAAATTGACAAAAGGTAAGTTTTAATGGAAACTTTTAGAATTCGGAAATGGCGACTGGAATATCTAGAAAAAATTAGGATTTTCAGAGAACAACAAGGGCCAATTATTTACTTGGATGAAACCTGGTTCGACACTTATGATACCCTGGAAAAGGGTTGGGTTGACTCAACTGATAAGTGTAAAACAAACGCGCCATCAAAAAGAGTTAAAAGAATAACTATTTTGCATGCTGGCTCTAAAGATGGTTGGATTCCAAATGGACTTTCTATTGTGAAAAATATTAAAGATTCTTCTCTGGATTACCATGAAGGCACCACCGCTGATTTATTTGAATGTTGGTTTAAAAACAAACTAGTTCCAAACATTCCTCCTAATAGCGTAATTGTAATGGACAATGCAAGTTATCACAGTAGACAGTTGACTAAAACCCCTTCCTCATGTGACACAAAATCAAAAATCCAAAACTACATGTACAATAACGACATTTATTTTCACAAAGATTATACCAAAAAGCAATTAATTGAGGTTCTACAAAGCTTGACCCTACAAAAGAAATACGTTTGTGATAATTATAATTATGCAAAAAATCTAGGGTATACACTGTATATTTAATCCCATTGAACATGTTTGCCACCAACTGAAATCTGCCATTCGTCGTAACAATGTTTTTCCCCGTGTTAATTCCAATGTTCTCAAACTTATAGAAACCGAAGTTTTTAATATCCTTCTACAAAGTTGGGCAAATTCTGTTAAACATATAGAAAAAGCAGAACAATCGTAAATCCATATTGCAAATAATATACAACAAATAATAATTAGAACAGGCGATGATAGCGACAGTGATACTGATATATTATGTGAATAACTTTAAGTAATTTAAGTAGGTATTAAAAATAATTTGTAATTTTAGTTTAGATTTAAACATAAATAGATACATAAATAAATATTGTTTAAGATCTTTCCTAACAAAACCCCAAATAATTAAATTCTAAGCAAAGTACGGACCTGTTCGGCCATATTTCATTCTTACAGCTTACAGCGTATCGGTTAGTGACTTTCTTATATCTATGAACAGACTTTACATCTGATAATTGGAGAATTGAAAGGGTAGTTTAAGTGACATCTAGATGCAGCGAACGTTTGCCTATTTCGAAGAGTGTAGGGATTACAGTTAAAGTATATTTTTTCCAAAAGGAAAAGGATATTCAGTCAAATTGTAAAGAAATAATAAATGAAAATTTGTTCTACGATTTTCTAAAGACCGCATTCAATAGAAATGAAGGTTTTCACTATAACTAATAAAATGTCTATTAAATTTATAATTTATAGCATTTTCAAATTTCCGTTGTGCACTCTCCAGCCGATCTAAATATTTAAAATACATTGGATTCCAGACTGTCGTAGCAAATCCCAACACGAGTCTGACAAGACTGTAAAAAAAGTATTATTAAATATTTTTTTATTAAACCCATTTGTCAGCCCTAAAATAAATCCAAGACTTTTTAGAGCCCTTTGAACAATATTTTCTACGTGCATTTCAAAAAGAATCCCGGAATCCAATGCAAGGCCCAGGTCTGCGTTTGGAGTAATGAACAGTAGGAAAAATTAATCACGGCATCGCTTATAAAAGCACTATATTTCTGGTCGAAGTATACCTAGGTAGAGATCACTTTTAATTTGCAGTTGTAATTTGAAAAAGAAATATTAATAACTCAAATTTAATGAGTATATTTAAAAATTTATTCCAGCACGAGAAATAGGCAAAAGAAAGTTAAGAGAAAGAAATCATTAAAGGAAAAATTGCCCACACAATAAGGTGTCAAAAATTTACGCTTCATTTTGTGGATGTCAATAATTTTGTTAATGTATATCGTTATAATTTTAATTATTTATTTTAATGTATTAAGAAGTATGGACAGAAATAAAAGTTATCTTAATGTAATAAACGAGAATTAATAATTATGGGAATTTATGATAATAAAATTCAACCCACACAATAAAGTTCACAGACTCGGTCTCCATTTCAAGTCTACGCAGTACTAGGCGCGAGAGCATAATTTTTTTTATATGTATTAAATATTATTAAATATTAAAAATGGCCAAAATAAAACATCGTACCTAAAACCGCATCAAAACTCCAGATAACAGATTAAACTATCATTTTTTGATCCAAACAATTATCTTTTAATGTCAATATCGTTCAAATACTTGTCAAAATCGGCATCTTTGGCGTTTATTGAACCGAAAACGTCAATAAACCAGCAGATATCGACGTAAAAGCGCCCTTTCTGGGTCGAATAGTTGCCGATTTAGATTAGATTCCAGTCAGAATCTGCTTTTTCACCTCTTATTGTACCGAAATCTACCTTAAAAATGCAGTTATTTGGCATTAGTACTACAGTCTCACTCTTAGTAGTACTTGCCTCACCAAATAGATATTGGCTACGGTGTAGACCGAGTTCACTGGCATCACCATTGTTGATCGTTGACATTTTATTTATGTAAATTACTTCGACTTTGACCATTTCCAATCATATTTTTCTTTTTTAGGTCAACAACGATCCATGTCTTGGAAAGAACGTAACGACTTTAATGGTAAGTAATTTTTTTTTCATATGGCTGCCAATTACAGTTACCATTGACCTTAGTCGGTTGTTCAATGAACTTGGACATAATAACGTCTGTGGTAATTATGTATCGAGATCATTACCAACTGCTTTGTTCGTTTTGAAATATTTGTGTTTTTTTGGTGGCTCGCAATATGGAGGTCCACTCTAGACAATAAAATTATTTTGTTTCTTTCAACCTAAAATCACGAATTATGCTTTGTAACCTTGCCTTAAGCAAACTTGACTCCTATAGTATTTATCGAGCTTGCCAAGTGGCACTTTTCTGAACTTGGTGCGTAATATCCGATTACCAACATCTGTTAAAGAAAAACCATCAACATATTACTTGTGACATTCAATTTCGAACGAGGTATCTGTTGCCAAGAAAACATCCCCGAGAATATCCTATTCCGCCAATCATAACTCGTATATATTTGGAATGTTATATAGAAATTGACGGACAATATCCGCTCTTATATTAGCACTGATCCAACGCTAATAACTGATAATGGAAAATTTTAATAGTATTTTTTTAGGTGTAGTTTCCGCACAACTTTGGTGTAGGTAAATTTTGTGTATATTATGCAACAAGTTTCATAAATGACGTAATAATATTTATATTATCGGTAAGATAGTCGGCAATAAATAAAATAAAATAAATTCCTCATCTTGCTTCCACTTATACTAAAACTGATGTTGTGCCAGCCTAAAGGTTTATCTGATCAATGCAAGACAGCCGTCACCAACTACCAGGGTCATATTACTTGGGAGTAAGAGAGACAGAATCAGTACGCCCACACTGAGAGATACATTCATGCATTGTCTATGTAATAATAGATCAAAGTGTTTCTTAATGATATGAAAATATTTAATTTGGGTAAATCCATTAACAAAAAATTTATTCTTGCTTGTGTGACAAGGCAGGGGTGGGCCAGCTATACTTCTTCCTTTCTGATTTTTTTCTTGGGTGTTGACTATTTGTGGCAGTGTTGAATAATCGTTGAATAAAGTTATTTTACGAGAATATAACAATGTCCGGTTATGAAAAGGTGTATGAAACTTTAATCAGTAGAGGACTTATTAGAAAAGAAATTTTATAAGAAACCTGACCACTTACAAAACGCCAATATCGTCGATAAGGGATATTATTAATAATGGAGAATTGAAGAGAAGAAATAAACGTAGTGATTTTCAAACTCACCGTATAAACAGTAGTGATTAGGACCTAATAAGAAGAAACATTTATTGTCAAATTGGATTCTAGTTTGGATAAACTGAAAAAATGAGCTAGAAAAAGATGAAACCAATATAAATATACGTCCGGCTTCGTTATTGTGTTCGGCAACTGCTGGTGACTTTATTTCTTTTAGCCTTAAGGCTCTTTAATAACATAATTCGGCAAGAGGTAGCTAAAATATCAGTACGAAGCTGGTCTAACTGTGAATAAAGAGTAATAAAAGAAGAAAATATTTATCGAGAACGATTAGTGGCGGAGGTTATCATTGAACTATGTGACGACAGTAGCGATAGTGACGATTGTTTAAGTGACTGATACTTTAATATCATTATATTTCATATTTTCTATTTTAATAATGATACTATGTTGAAATGTAATGAAATAGAACGTAATAAATTGTTACTTTGTACTAATTTTTTTATGTACATGTTTCAAGAATTGCTGGGCGAAAAAGATTGAAAACATATTTATATCCCTCTTGTTATTGTAGGAAGATAAATTCCTTGGACGGTCCTGGAATGGTTACGGGGAGGGTGTGCTCGGCTGGTAGGAAAAGTTAACCACGGGGTCAGTTGTAAAGACACTATATTTTTGGTCATAGTATACCAAAACCTTTGAGTTTTACTATCAGGTAAGATTAAGACAGACTATACCCCACAGTTGAGACACATCATTACACTGTGACAGTATTATAATTGCAGTAATATCGTTAGCCGATTCATTAATCAAAAGACCAAAATACCGGAACGAAAACCACACGACTCGAAAATCGATGAGCTCATATCAATGCCGCGATGCGAGCTTCTCCTAAATTTAGGTCCGCAATAACGATTGTTCAAATAAAATATCTTCAGAACGCGGAGTAGTCTCGAGTGGCTTTCGAACGATAACGAAATAAGCATGTGTAATTAACAAATCGTTTGAAACGCCATTCGACCTACTTCTCCCGTTTTGCCGATGGCCGCTGACGAATTCATTAATACTCAATCGGTTTCGATACAAATGCGTTCCAAAAATCACAAAAATATTATTCGCTCACAAAGTACGTTGCCATTCATTCCCGCGTTTTTATTTTAGAACGGGCTCATTTGTATGTTTTACGCACGAGACCAAAATTGCCTACCGAACGTTTTGAAAGACGGCCAAATAATGAAAGTGCAGGTGTGTTTTGTTACGGCTATTTTGGAACTGACTGTCATGTCATGTTAAACATTTAATGGTCTGTTCAAGCCTTTATCTAAAACTACGATAAAATCAAAAACAAATCAAATCAAATTTATTTCCGTAGACTTTATTTTAGGTATCGAATAATGTCAAAAGCATAAACAATATATTACAAACATTAAAATGAACTGAGGTGGCTTTTATATGATGATGATGAAAATCCATTCAACACAAGTACATTCGAACCAGAAATGTTCAGATTATTTTATTTTTATTATTATTATATCTGGTTGTCGACATTGCTAGCACAGGAATGCTTCTGTCATGTTTTGAAGTTTACGATTTTGAACAGATTATCGTTTCTGGAAACTCCCTTGATGTGACTCTTCTTCCTAGAAAGTTTTTGCTGAGTAGAACTTGCTGACATTCCGCCAATCATCTTGTTGGCTTGTGCGACTGAAACTGGCTCGCATTTTACTCTGTACCTGCTTATATATTGTTTGAGGGGGGCGGAGTTAAATGAAGGCCATAAACACCGTCTCGGATGACTGATTCCCATATTGGTGACAAGTAGGGATCTGAGTCGCGGTTAAGATCGTTAGGTGGTTTATAGATTTCTATAGACCCTTGGATTTTTCGTTGGTAGAAAAACTGATTACATGCAAGAATTTATTTGGCCTCATGGTCAAGAAGCCCTAGTAGATTTTCTTAGACATTTAAACTCTATACACCCTAACATACGTTTTACCATTGAGTTGGAAACTAAAAATAACCTTCCATTCTTATATATTCTTATAAATAGAAAATCAGAAGAAATACATTTCACCACAACCTTCCAATAGCAATGAGGCCGAAAGCAATCCTACACTTGCCACTGTGGTCATTCCTTCATTCAAAACATCACTGACCACATATCAAAAGTTCTAAAGAAGTATAACGCCAAAACCAGATTCACAACATCTTCGTTCCGTCAAAGACAAAATTCCATTTGAGATGCCGGGAGTTTGCAGCATTCGATGCATATGCGGCAAAGTATACATTGGAGAGACCCGAAATATTAACTAGACTCAAAGAACACGAAAGAGCCTTACGACTAAAACTCATCAGCTGTTGCCGAACACACCCATGAAACCGGACATAAAATTTTATTCTATAAAACTAAAATTCTTGCATGTAATCAGTTCTTCTACCAACGAAAAATCCGAGAGTCTATAGAAATCTATAAACAACCCAGCAATCTTAACCGCGACTTAGGTCTCTACCTGTCACGAATATGGGAATCAGTCATCCGAGACGGTGTAAAAAGTAAGTGGTAAATCTGTTTGTGACGTTATATTTATTTAGAACTTTTGATATGTGGTCAGATCAACAGTGGCAAGTGTGGGATTGCTTTTGGATTCATTGCTATTGGAAGGCTGTGGTGAAGTGTATATATATTTTAATATCTTTAACGTGGAAATTATTAGAGAGAAGGGCAGAGGTAAGGTGTTTTAATTCTGGGTTCAGTGACTCGGGCTGAGACAGTTTTGCGGCTCTGTAAACAAGAGAGTTGATAACCGATGATTTTTGGGCCGAACGGTGATAAGACCATGCATTAAGGTATCGGTCTGTGTGCGTAGGTTTTCTGTAAACACAATGACAATATTAGATCTGATTTCCTATTGATAAAAATATCTAAGAATGGGAGGTTATTAGTTTAGAATTCAATGGTAAAACGTATGTTAGAGTGTATAGACCATGAGGCCAAATAACAAAAGTATCATCGAAGTAGCGTTTCCATAATTTTGGTTTTAGTTGGATACCCTAACGAAACGTTAGCTAGTTCGACTCAATAAAAACCAACGCAGGAGAAAGTACAAACAATTGATGGAGTCTCAGATCAGAAAATATGCAAATTGGTCCAAACCATGTTGCCTTTAGAAACTTAAAAAAGTCTATCAAAATATTTTTCAAAATTTTCTTCAAGAAGCACCCTTTTTATAAATTCTGTATCGTCTTGTTAACTGAGCCATATTGCATATTTTTGATTTGGTGGCTGGTTGTGAAACTTTACTAATCAAAAAACAAAGGCCTCCATGGTTTACCGACAATGTTGGTCGTCTGGTGAGACTGAAGGCGAAGGCTTACAATCGGTTTAGCAGGGGAAGAAATAATACCTAGAATTCACTTCACATAATTTCTTTTTAAAATACTCTGGTAAATGTGACACAGCTCACTGCTATTGGTGCAGACTTGATAAATCTGGTAATGATTTTGATGTGCTGCCCTTTAGTTCTGACTTGACACTTGACCTTCAGAAAGGAAAGTAGCAAAGGTCAAGCCACTGCAGAAGAAGAGTAACGCAGAAGAATACATTGATCTGCGACCTGTGAGTTTCCTTCCTTGTCTATCTAAAATTCTAGAAAATTCAATGGAGAAACAAATACACAAAATATCTAGACAGGTACCAGATTTTCCCAGACCGGGGTTCGGTTGTACAACGGCGTCAGGAACTGTAACAGACGATATATTTCAAGCAACTGATGCTGGGACGAACACCGCACTGATTTTATTCGACTATTCGAAAGCGTTTGACACTGTGAATC